TGCCCATTTAACGAACGATGTCGATCAACTGGTAATAACAATCGAGATTCCAGGTCGTATTCTTCTAATTGCGAATACCAAAATTCACGAGATGTTGTCATATCAATTAGCCGTTCATGTATACTGTAATCAATATATCGCAATGGTTCATCATCTTCTATTGATATTGCATTAGTATTATAAGCGAAACATAGATCATTGAAAAGGATTGAACGACTTGACCGATCAGATGCTGCATGATGAGTAGCAATGAGGAGAACATCAGAACTAGTTATGAATTCATTATTATTATTTTCATTTGATGAGATTTGATGTCTCAGAATTTCAGTATGAAAAACATGACCAGTTGATAAATCAAAGAGATTAGGATTAATAGTTGTTTGATAAACAATGTTCCGAAGTTCATTGTCATTTTGAAATGTTTGATTCATAGTTATTGTAAATGTTTTGTCTGAATTTGTAATGCATTGCTTCAAACTATTATTATCATTGTTGAAAATAAGAGATGTACGTAGTATTTTATGTTTATTCAAAACAAATCGAAATGCTTGTAATAAACGATTTAACGATAATGATCCTTGGACAACTTGTAACGTAGATACTTCATTATAGACAGCAATATCACTCGAAAAGCGAACTTGTTCATCAAGAAATATACGTTCCTGAGCAAAAGAAGCAGTACCTGTGAATTAAACAATAGAAATTATTTTAATAATTTCCTAGTGAATATTTCTACCTTCATTTATGTGTAGTGTATGCCATTGAGTTACCTTGATATTACTCATTGTAACTGTTTGAAGTAATTGTGAATGTTGACAAATAGTTGGTTGTTGAAGAAATGGAGCAATCGAAAGTGTATGAGTATCAAAGTTAAACACTGATTGATAATGATGATAAAGTTGTATAAGTAATAGTGAATGACCACCAACACTGAAAAAACTGGTAGTTCTAGAAATACGATTTTGATTAGAATGAAGAACTTGACACCAAATAGTATGTATACGTTCTTCGAACTGATTAAGAGGAGTATCAGATTTATCGGACGATAACAAAGTCGGCAAAGAAAAGTTGGGTGAAGGAAGTTGTTTTCGATCGATTTTTCCATTTTGGTTCAATGGTAATTTCTCAAGAATAATAAACATTGAAGGAATCATATGTGTTGGGAGATGAGATCGACAATGTTGCCGTAGTTGCTCTTCATTGGTATGAGAAGTTTGAACATAAGCAACGAGATGGTCATCATTCCATTTCATGACAACACAAGCAGAGATAGATGTAATTTTAAGTAAACATCGTTCGATTTCACCAGGTTCGATTCTTTGTCCATGAAGTTTGATTTGATGATCTTTTCTTCCTTGATAATGAAGAAGTCCGTTGTTATCCATTGTAACAAGATCACCTGTTCGATAAAATAGTTCATCATCTATTTCAACAAGGGCTTTTGCCGTCAAGTCATCACGATCAAGGTATCCAGCAAAGATACCTACACCTCTCACTAGTAACTCTCCTTCACAGCCAATACGGACAAACTGTGAAAACTCGGTCAAAATCAGACCTTGATAGTTGGGTAAAAGTTGACCTATAGAAATGCTTGTTTGACTTTTGTTCAAGTCAATTAAATAACAAGCACAATTGATCGTGATTTCAGCTGGGCCATAATGATTTCGAATCCGGCATTGCTCTCCAACTAAACTTTGAAATAGACTAACTTGCTTAATATTAACAGGTTCGCCTACAAACAATTAATTCAAAAAAAAGCGTTGATATTTTAGTCATTCAAAACAGAAATACTAACCGCCACTGCATAAAGATCGTAAACATTTCACTGCTGACATACGCTTACTTATTCTGAGAAATTCAAATAAACTGTTCAAAAGCGACGGAACAGCATGCATGACAGTTATCTGCTTTCGATCAAGCACACTAGCAAGATATTCTAGATCCATATTGCCTTCCGGTCGAAGCATCACCAATGTGCTACCAATAACCAATGTACCCAATAAGCTTAGTAGATGATTGTCAAAAGAGCACCGAGCCATCTGTATTATTATGTCAGACTTTGTAACTACATCAATATTCACAAATGAATGCATAAACTCAGTGAAGTTTCGATGACGCAGTTGAACCTATTTTAACAAAAGAAGCGTTAGAAAATAGATCGAAAGAAATAATTATTATACAAACCGCTTTTGGAATACCAGTTGAACCACTTGTGAAAATTACAAAGACAGCATTTTCTGGTGTTACAGGAACATTTGAAAGTTTATTCAGATTAATTTCACTAAATCTTTCTTCGAGACAAATAATGCCGTCAATATTTAAAGTTAGACTGTCGGGACTGAAAACCGTTGGTGTACTTGCATGAACTAACACTAAACGACTTTGAGTCTGATTGACAAGAGCTTGTAAACGTTGTGGAGGATCTCTTAACGATAATGGACAATACGCACTACCAACCATAGCTATTGATAAAATACCAATAACCTAAGACAAAAACAGTACACATGATATCGTTTCAACAAAGAATCTTCTCAAGGCACTCACCATTGACAAACTTCGCTCAACACATTGACATATGACTTCGCCTGGAACGGCATGATATTCATTAAGAAGAGTTAAAGATAGTATTTGAACATAATATAAAAGTTCAGCATATGTCAAAGATTGATCATCTAGTTCAACAGCTAGTTTTTGTGGATGTTTCATTACTTGACATACAAATGCATGATGAATACAAGTGAGAAGAGATGAAAATGACATTTGCGTATTATTCATTGATTGCATTACTAATCTTTCATTTGGTAATATTATTGATAATTCATGAACAGGTTTGTTTATTTGACTACTAAAAGATGCAAATTCTTGATGTACCATTGAGTGTAATCTTTGTGCAATTATACAAACTGTTTCAGTATTGAATAAATCAATTGAAGCATTGATGGTGCATGAAAATTCATTTCGATGCAGATTGTGTTGAAAACTAAGAATAAAATCAAATTTACTCATTATTTCATCTTCACTAATCTTAACTGAGTGAGGTAGTAAAAAAAGTCGACTATCACCAATCATTATTTCATTCTCTTCATCTCTTCTTATAGGTGATAGAAATTCAAATGATGTATCAAGAAATACTGGATTTGATATATTAGGATGTTGATTGAGAATACGTTGTAGTGGAAAATATGAATATTTAATACAGTTTATCATAATATCTTGAACGTGCTTAGTAAGTTTGTGAAATGGTAAATGAGGATCGAGTTGAGATCGCACGGGTATAGCATTCACAAACATTCCAATGATAGAGTTAAGTTCATCTCTATATCGACCATGTGTATTTATTCCAATGCATAAATCTTTTTCTCCATTTGTTAATTTGAATAAAAATACATAATAAGTAGTAAGTGCAAGTTGTTCTAGTGATATATTGTTTGATGATGCATGGAGAAGAAAGTTATGTGAAAGATCTTGACCAAAATCAAAAGAAATAGATTTTCTACGACCAGTTCTATGTTCATTTGCCAGACGATATCGATCAAATGGTA